ATTTTTTATTGACAATAACTTCAAACATTAGTATTTGTAGAGTGAAAATAAAATTAAAACGAATTTTTAAGAGTAAGTTTACCATCTTCAAAATCAAGTCTTGTTGACATGCGAAAAATCCTAATATACTTTCCGTCGTTAGGAAAATATAAACTAAAGCGAGTAAACCACTGTTTAATTTAATATCGTAGGTATAATAACTGTGTGCTGATCACCGAAACGCACTTTTGGGATTTGTAATTTGGTAAGTAAACAAACGTTATAGAACTTTGCCAGTCACCTAGTCGACATGACAAACGATTTCGAAATAGTGTGATACCTAGGATTTCCTTCTATTTTGTAATGATAAAACTACCAGTCATTTGACGAATAATGTCTCTCTCCGTATGAATTTAAAATGATATTAGCAATACTATATTATTATGATAATTGAGTGTATTAGTGAATTTTTAAGTTTTGATTAAAATAGTCAATTCAATCTTTAAAATTTAAATGTTTTATGTAAAAAACTGCTTAGGTTATAGTTGCCTGCCATATACTATCGTATTGACATTTTACCAAACCAATATATTATTAACACTTATGATTTTTATAGGTGTTGCACGAATGGCCGACACTCGATAAGCTTAAATACTAAATGGCTGACCAATTATAAGGCTTGTCAGCCTATATTGTTTGACATAAAAAAAAATTGATTTATACTGATTGATATGTACATTTTACGATACAATACATAAATTTACATTAAGTGACATTTTAAAAAAGAGTGACTTACAAAAGCCCGTTAAATTATGACATGTCGCCGATTCATTTAGAGACACAACTCACACAAGATCCGATTTCAGTAATCGTATAAATTTAAGCCACACCGCGAGATTGAAAACGATTTCAAATACCACATAGGTACTCGAAAGTACACTTCTTTTGAATGTATAATATAATAATAATACAATAAAGTACAATTCGTTATTACAAATGTTGTAACTGTCGATAACTTTCGATGTCATAGCTCATTGTAGGCCTTTTTGTGCGATGCCACGCATCATTTCAAAATGTACATCGACATCAAGGTAAGTACCCACAATAAAGTACATTATACATTTGTAAAAAAAAACGACGTGCATGTTACTGCTTAATCAAATTTTTAAATTCTCCATTTCCTGTAGGAAAATGTTTTACCGGTATCGAATTGATATTTAACATTTTATTTTCGGCTTTTCACAGTGTCAGCTAAAACAATTTCGGCCATTTGACTGTTGGCCTATGTCCCTCGAGTATGTTTATCAGCAGAATGTCCATATACCGTTTTTAATATTATGTATTTATGTTGTCTACGTCCATGCAATAACCCTATGGATATTGCATAGCGATTAATGTTTACCGGTGAAAACACGCAGTATTGAAAAAATCGTTTGTTTAAATTAGATGGCAATACAATTACTATGAAATATATTCAAGTCATATTCAACAGAAATTGCACTGAAATTCTCATATAATCACCCACCTACCTACACAATTTATAATTACGATTATTGAACTTCATTTTATTACGATCATTTAAAGTGAATAATATGTTCATTATAATATAACATTTCGTTTATTTAATTAACCCAATTCATATAATATGAAATGTTCAATGCGTTAAATTATAAATGTTTTATATTTTATCGAAATCATAGTATAGCTAAGTGTTTTTAATTTAGTATTCAAATGACGATTCAAATCGTATCAAAAATAACGTTACTAAACAGGTGTTTTAATGAATTTTGAATTGTTTACTTATTTTATTTTACAATTTTGTCCAAAAATAATGAGTGTATTATAATTATTAAAAACTCGAGAAACAAAAATGCAATAAAACAATACGAGATAAATGCTATCTTTGTGAAATCAAAAGATCAAATTGTATAAGTTAATATAAAGTTTATTAAAAGAAGAATGATATTACACAATAGGTAACTACATACAATTTCCAAGATATCATCGTTACGATATAGTTATAAATTATTCAAATATAACATTGTAACATTATTTTATATTTAGTATTAAAAAAATATTCCTCTAAACTTCAAGTAAACAATAAGTTCAACTGTTTTAATAAAAATCAAAGAAATTAATTTTATTTTCTCATGAATTCCATTATCTTTAACAAAAAGTACAGATTTCAAAATCCTTTATTATTTATAAACATAATAAGGAAAAATTTCAATGAAAATGGTGTGAATTAACATCAAATATAACTATTCCATTGCGAATATGACTATAGTTAGTCTACTCACTTATATGAGTCATAATCTTGTAAGGTGTGCTATTGTGATAATATCCTATTATAATGAATGATTTTCTCACCAAATTTCAATATTATGTAATTCGTTTACCATCATATTTCCTCAGTAATGTTAAAGTAAAAAAATGACCATCAATTTTAACACATTTTTACTATATGGTTAATTTTTTTTACCACTCAAAATTGTATGTGACCTCTTGTAATTGGTTATGA